AATAAACAAATTGTACAGTTATTATTCAGCATGCAGTTGAATAAAATCACATTGGAAGCGTTTCTTCAACAAGAAATTGATTTTGGGTAAACGTTTTACTGAATACGTTAGACAACACCTTTGTGTTGCAGTTGTATAGGTTCTCCAAACCAGTGTAAACAAGGGTTTTATAAAAGTTGTGGTGAACACATTGTGCAATTATTATTCAACATGCAGCTGAACAAAATCAAAACGAAAGCGTTTCTTCAACTGGAAATTGTTACTTGGGATGTCGCTCGACTAAGTAATGATTTTCCCGGTAATCCTGGAATCCTCTTAGTAACTGGGCTGAGCGGCTGTATCAAAATTCGCAGTCGCTACATCGAATGGCTTTCACCTACTGGTTTCCTACTTCTGCTTCAACTTTTTCGACAGCATTCTATTGTTCGACAAAGGATTCCATACCTCGTTCCATACTACACGAGTATGGACATCTTTTTCCGAGCAATAAAAGTCCGGATTGGGACACTCTTCGCGATAATAACATAGAGGTAACTCTAAGACTAGAAGGTCCCAAAACAACGTGCTCAACTTTTTGGCTCAGCTCTGGTACTCTCTTCGGTCCCAAGCTAATCGATTCACCCCTCGAAACATAGGAAAAACCAATAACCCCTCATTTTATCTGTCAAACTTTCATAGCGAATCAAAACAAACATTGCGTAGTACTAGAATTTCGACTAGAATGGGGTACGCTAATCGTTTGCTTGGGACCAATAGGCTAGTCAAGTAGTGAGCCAATTTAAAATCGTTAGTTTCGTATTGATTGTTGATAATAATCCCTTATTAACAAATAATTGAAAATTTTGCCATTTTCACCACCTGCTTTTCTACACTCACGTTATTATTAACCTACCCAGGAATGAGTAGAAATCTCTCCAAAAAGTAGGTGTTTTGACAGTTCAACCGTTCAACTATATTCGATTTGAAAATTTGCACTTTTAAAACTACAAGTTAAAATCAAAACATTTACTTTTGGTTTGAAAAAAACCTTGGTGTATTAAATATTTTCATAGTTAGTATAACAAATTTTTGAATACTTTTAAATTGAAAGTACAATATTTTTACTAATACAATTTTCGTTTTTTGTGTGTGTGCGTGAGTTTAACGCCAATAATCTCTATCCGTTTTATTTTGACTTCCTTAAAACTGTAGCCCTTAACATTTCACCGTGTGTACGTTTCAGCTAAAGATGAGCTTAATCCACAGACAAACAGACATAACACTCGCAAGTTGTTCATCGAACAAGCATTTAACGGTCAATTTTAAAGTATCGTAGTTGGTAGTATCGCCACCTGTGGCGCGTATAGTCATTTCCCTTGAGTTTGACGTTTACACACTACAGCCATCTGTTCAGCTCACTACCCATCACAGTGTACTCAACAGATGGCGGTAATGTTTTTGCGACGATGTTTTACAGTGAGAAATATTCAATGTGTTATGTCTGTTTGTCTGTGCTTAATCCATTATCAAGTTTGTTTAAAAATAAATTTTGTTTAGCCTTTCGCTTTGCACGAATTTTTCGATAGCAGAACACCTTTGCCTGCTTGCTCCGTCTGATTGCTGTAAAATCTCCATTTGTTTACATTTTTCTAGTTTCGCCCTAATCACAGTTTACTCCGGAAATAAAGAAAACATGCACTCAAAAAATAAATCACATTTCCAATGGAAAATATCCATTAGAATTTCACATAACTTTCATGTGATCTCATAATTGGGAATTGGACTACAAAATCACATGAACCTTATGTGTCCAATGAAATTTACGTGATTTATCACATAGAATTCATGTGATCATATGAATGTTATGTGAATTTCAGATAAAAATCATTAATTTTGTTAGTGGAAAAATATCATGTGCGTTCCCAATGGAAGCTATATGAAAACTTTTTTCGGTGTGGAAATACGAAGGGAATCGGTCACGGAAGGTCGATGAGTATAAAATGCCCACACGTACACTGATAGAAATCTCCTTACACGGTAACCAGCGTAAACACATAAATGAGTTAAAAAAATACACATTTTTTTATATTTATATGCAGCTGTCAAAAATCTGTAAATTTGGAGATCTTAAAATGTGTATACAAATACACATTTTAAGACTGTAGTACTAGTCAACAAATGTGTATTTGTATACTCATTAATGGTTTAAAAAAAACTTCTGCTTCGTTGATGGACGCCATTTGCCTAAGCGAAAAACTTTCAGCAATTTAAACAAAAAAATTGAGAAACTATGGTCTAAACTGTAACAGAGCAACGGTGGACAAGGGGTATTTCGCGTTTCACACCAAATTGGACTAATAAGCGCGTTTTCACTTATTAAAAAGTGTGATAAAACTGCAAGCTTACGTCTAATCGTCTTGGTGTCTTCGGTGTACTTATTCCTTATGATGCAAGCAATAAGTGCTCCGAAGACGGAGCGATTTGACGGAAACATGCACTTTTATCACACTTTTTGCATTTTTGGGACAGTCCAGTTTCAGATGCAATCAGCAATACGTGATTTATATTATTGTCATAGCTAAGCCCTAGAAAAATAATCATTATTAAGATTTTCATTGTCCGGTGTCTGGCTGTGACTTTTTTTAATAAAATATTATTGAATCCGATCAATCTTTATTTTATCATTGACACAAATAAGAAAACTCCGATATTAATATAAAAAAACATGCGTCCTTATCATATATAATGTCTTTGAATGATTACTTTTTACACATTTTGCAGTAAAAACCGTTCTTGAAAAATATGTAAAAAATACACTTCTATTGACGTTTGATGGGTTTATACATAAATGTGTAAACGCAGTATATATATAAGGAAAATTTCAGAGAAATAAAATCAGTGTGTTTATTTACTATTCGTTCATGCGGCTCACTCATCCGAAACCCAATCGGTAAGTTATATCAGGTCTTGAGTCTGAATTGGTTAGCAATCCAGCCGAAAGATTGTATCCGGAAGCCCCTTACTCGCCACCAACTAAATTTGGCAAGTGATACCGGACTCTCTTTAGGTGGAACCCAACCAATTGGAATCAATTACAGATTGTGGCAACTGGCCAGCAGTCTGGATTGAAGAGATCTGGTTAACTTGGTACTTCACGTATCCTTCAAGAAGGAAAACTCTGCTCACAAAACCTCCCCATCCTAGCACACGTGAGCCGATTACCTTCGCATCGGCTTGGCAACCGTTTGAATCGTAACCCTACACTAATAGAATTCCACACATTTTTATTGGCGAATTTCCTTGTAAAATTCCACATGATTTTCATGTGACCCCACATAAACAGAATCCACCTAGAAGCACACATGAAATTTATGAGTCAAATGAATAGTATGTGTGGTTACACATGGCTTTTATGTGTGCACATATTAAGTATGAGTCCGACACATAGATATTATGTGTTGATCAAATTGCAAAAATTCATGTGTGGGACACATAAAAACAATCTTTGAAATTTTATCAGTGTAAACCGAGGGGCAATTCACTGCTCTCGAGAATGAATCGAAAATACGTCTTTATATGGAGTCGGGGCCCTAGAATTTGGGCGTCAGTACATCGTGCGCATGTGCGCTTTTGCATCTATGCAAGGGTCTTATTCACCTACGCTCAAGTCCCTACGCACAAGTCCTATGGCCTTTGCTGTATTGCCTAAGTGACGATACGGTTTTATTTGGGTTCCGAATTTAATTACTTTTCTTCTAATTTCGGGAGTTGGGCGACGCGTGAGATCACCCCGTTCTACAATTCTTAAACAGCGCACTTCCCAGAGTACGCACATCTCCTACCTAGTTCTATAAATATGGCCTTGCTTTTGCGGTACCGTTCTTCTGTGGTACTCGGCCGTACCACCAACAATCAATACGAAACTAACGATTTTAAATTGGCTCACCACTTTAGTAGCCAATTGGTCCCAAGCAAACGATTAACGTACCCTATTCTAATTGAAATTCTATTACTACACTATGTTTGTTTTGATTCGCTATGAAAGTTTGACAGATAACATCAGGGGTGTGTGGATTCATGCAGAACATGCAGGGGTGAGTGAAATAGCTTGGGACTGCTTGGGACCGTTGTTCTGGTACTGAGTGAGCCAAAAATAATAATGATTTTCTTCGGGACCCAGTGGTCTTAGAGTTACCTCTATGGTACCACCATAAAAATTCTATTCTAATAACTAATAAAAATTCAATGATTATATTTATGTGTTCCACACATAATTTTTTGCAATATGATAAACAAATGATTTATATGTGTTAGACACATATTTTTTATGTGTATACATAAAATTCATGTGTAACCACACATACTATTCATTTGACTCATAAATTTCATGTGTACTTCTGAGTGGATTCTGTTTATGTGTGGACGCATGAAAATCATGTGGAATTGTACATGGAATTTCGTCAATAAAAATGTGTAGAATTTTATGATTGTAGATTACTTTTTAAACAAATCGATTCATATTCGATGTTTATATACCTCGGTTTATACCGAGGGGGACGACTCTATCTACGATGCAGAAAATATTGTGTTTTGCTGTGGTTAGCTGCGCGCACGCTGAGTAGATAAAAAGAAGATTGATGACGATTCTGAAGATTTCCTGCAAAAAGATGATGCGCGATGCAAGTAGATGCGACAAATGAAAGAAGATTTTTCGAAGATTGATTCGCTAGTGTGAGATTTGTTGAGCATCTAAACTTGAGATTTAGATGTGTCGCCCCCCTCGGTTTATACCGATTATGAATAAAAGTTTATTAAGTTCTTTGCACAGTAATACTTTTGAGTGCAGGTGCACATCGAATCGTTCAAATAGGCACTCGATTTTGTGGTCGAAATTTCACTCTTCCTTGCGTCAATTGACGTTCGTCATCAGTGATGACTGATGATGGTTTATCATCTTTTTTAATCTCGCAGTTTTACGTAAAAGCGCTGCGCTTCCCGTTCCTTCCATCCCGTGTGTTCGCAACAAGTGCCTCATAAAAATTAGCAAACAGTGTTCGATTAACTAAATTGAAAATAAACAAACGAACATCCCACCTCACTCGGTTAAAAAACATCCAGATTTTTATGAATTCCGCAATTTTGCTCCGAACACTGACGACGTCGATTGGCAGCACCGCCGCCGGTAAGCAGCTCCTCCTTTCTAGGTCATCAACGTCAGTTTGCGAATGCTATCGTTCGATCGTCAGTAGTGTTGGTGCTTTCGCTACGAGTACGTCATTTTCTGCGGCGAGTGCGGCGGCGTTGCTCATCAGCAGCCATCGGAGTGCATCAACAGCAACAGCAGCAGCAGTAGCAATCAATAGTAAGCAATTCCTTCCGGTTAGCAGAGGTGGCAATAGCAGCAGAAAAATGAGCAGCGATTCAGCAAAGCCAAAGATTGTGTTCGTGCTTGGGGCGCCCGGTGCCGGAAAGGGTACCCAGTGTGAAAAGATCGTGGAGCACTTTGGCTTCACGCATTTGTCCGCTGGGGATCTGCTGCGGGAGGAACGGAAGCGGGACGGTTCCGAGTACGGGGCGCTGATTGAGGACAACATCAAGAACGGCCGGATCGTACCGGTGGAGATTACCTGTGCCCTGCTGGAGAATGCGATGAACAAGACCAAGGAGGTAAGAACGGTGTTTTGGGGGTGAAGAAACGCGTGCTGGCGTGATTATTTTCATTTTTCTCACGAACGGGTGATGTTAGGTGCATGACTTGCATAATATAGAATGAAGTAACGAGCTGGATGGTGGCCTTGGCATTCATGGAAATAGCGATAAGCTATCACCGTAATGAATGCGAACTAGGTAGTTCAAGACGAGGCAAGCCTCTTTCTGTTACGAGTTTCTATTCGTCTAACTTATGGAAGGGATTCGGCCGGGTGACATTGTTCACGTTCAAGGTCTTGTGGGAGTTGTACTAGTTTCAAAATTGCTTCCCCTGTGCGTGTGGATAACAGCTTTAGATTTTGTATTATTTTTAGCCAGTAATTGGTCGTCATTTCTTGGTGGAACAAGTTTTTCCACCTTCACACGCATAATACGGTTGTGGGTTTATCGAACGGAACGAGGGCGCATGCGTCCTGGGTGAACACGAATCCCGAATAGAATTTGTGCCGTGAGACAGGGTTGCTTCCACTCACTTCGCTATTAAAAAATGTCTTTCGACACTGTTTTGAATAACACTTCACTCATAAAATCACGGATTGTGACTTTCTGAAGGCGTAATTGACAAATTTTATGTGCGCAACACATTCTTCATACCTTCGATTTATTTCATGTGTTAGAAAACCGCTAGGTACAATCACCTATATTTTTTCAGTATAAAACGTTTCTTTATCAATTCCCACACAGGCCACCGGTAACGACAAATTCCTGATTGATGGTTTCCCTCGGAACGAGGACAACTTGCAGGGATGGAACCTCAAGATGGCCGAAAAGGTGCAGCTGTTGTGTGTGCTCTTCTTCGAGTGTTCCGAAGATCAGTGCATCCAGCGGTGCCTGAAGCGTGGCGAGAGCAGTGGCCGTTCGGACGATAATCTGGAGAGTTTGAAGAAGCGCTTCAACACCTACATCAACGACACGATGCCCATCATTGAGCACTACCGGAAGCAGGACCTGGTGAATGCCATCGACGCTGCACCGACACCGGACGAGGTATTCGAAGCGGTCAAGTGCGCCTTCAAAGGCACCAAGTAAAATTTCACAACCAAATGGAACACAAAACGAAGAACCAGAAACGGGACGGAGGTAAGAAGGTGGCGGCGTTATCCATTTTAATTACAGATTGATTCATATATTTAGACTGCAATAGTTGCACACGTGCAGGTGCAAAAATGCTACCATTGCCTAACAAGCGTTGTTTTTATCAAGTCATTCCGTACAGTTGAATCCTGAAACGAATCATAATTGCAAAATAAAATTGGTAGCAAGCTCGGAATCTGGTCCAAAAGAAAGAAAAAAAGGGAAGTGTACTAATAGAGCTCTCTCACGTTGCTTTGAGAGATGTTAAGTATTTATATGTCAAATGTTGAAACTTGCTTCACGCCAGTTAAGTATTAACCTAGGTACCGAATATCGCAGCAAGTTAATAATTGTGTGTAGTAGAACAAAGCCAAAGTGCGGAATTTTGCGGTTCGCGTAGCGGGCGATTCCGTTGATTGGTTAGGAGGGATATTAGGCAAATCGTAGGGAAATTAGCTGTGGAACCGGAGTGTTAATTATGTGGAAATCGAAGTCGAATAAATTCAGTGAGTGCATTTTACCTGGATGTGTTGTTCTTTGATTAGAGTATAGTAGAAAGTTTGAGAAATACCTTGTCAGGAATTAGGGACAATTTGTGTCGCTGGGAGATGCTTGTTTCTCCCTGGTTTGGAACATTTGATATTTACCTTTACTCATGATGTGTTCGTCCTCTCTGGTTGGTTTTCCTCGATGATTTCCTCTTCAGGAACCACTGTTGGATTTATTTATCAAATTAACTTGTACACCAGTTTCAGGCGATCTTTGTACTTAATGTGTATTGAACATTGTCTAAAAAGTCATACTTAGCCGATTCGATCCCTTACCTAGTCAAGCTAAAACCTTGTTGTCCTCTACTGTCCGAAGAAGTCGTCTCCACTCTACTTGATCCATGGCCACACGTCGCCAGCCTCGTAGTCTAAGAAGGGTCCGCAGGTCGCCTTCTATTTGGTCGATCCACCTTGCCTCTTCTTCTTATTCCTGTTGGGTCGCTTTCGAGAACCATTTTCACTGGGTCGTTTTTTGCAATGTGGAGGATTGATGGTTCTCCCAGCAGCCGGTGCAATTCGTGGTTCATCCACGTTCCGTCATCCATCTGTACTCCACCGTAGATGGTACGCAACACCTTCCGTTCGAAAACACCAAGACCGCGTTGGTCTTCCACGAGCATAGTCCAGGTCTCGTGGCCGTAGAGGACCACCGGTCTAATCAGCGTCTTGTAGACAGTCCGCTTCGTGCGTTGTGTTTGTCGTATTAGATGCTAGATTAAAGCTTCTTTTATCGATAAGTGTGCTGAAAATACCTGAGAATGTCTTAAGATGGCCGTGGAGAGAATAGGTCATATGAATAAAAGCGTTTACTTTACTTTTCCCGTAAGAAAAGCACGGGAAAGTAAAGTAAACTCTTTTTATTCATACGGCCCAATGTCGACGAAGAGAATCTGTCAATGTTACTTAGGACAGAATGCAATGTTCAGCTTGATTTTGACTTATATTTATAACAAAGTGATAACAATAGTTTATAGGGCTAAAGTGAGGCAATAATCATTCGATGTCAGCAAATATTATAAATTATTAATTATTAATTTATAATATTTGATGTCAGGATGATGTTTCGGTTCAGTGTAACATTCGTGTCACGTGTTCTGAAAAAAAACCCCCAGCATTCAGAAATCACTGAAAATTTTGAACAAAAAAAAACTCAGCAATCACTGAGAAAAAAGCGTCATTCGTTTCGAAATTCTTCAGTGCGGAAAATGTTACTGAAGATTCAAAGTTTCCAGCGAACAATCGAACGAATAGTCCAGAAACAAACCAATTTAAAGGTAAGTCATTTTTCAACTGCTGACCGGATGATTTCGTTGACCGTTTTGCATTTAACAGATCTGCATAAGTCGCGAAACCATCTCGGTTTACCTCGGCTAATGGATGCCTGCATTTACGTCACAGCCTGGCACAAAAGTTTGCTGATAATTTGTCCAAGAAACGGGAGCTGGAGTTTGCTGATCGATAAGTCCAGCTATGCCGGTAAGTGTTTGCTTTTGTTTTCCCTTTAGTTGCTACAATTATTAACTAGAGTAGACAATCGTCCATACAACCCCTCCTCTAGAGTGTCAACGTGGTTTATGAACTGCCCCTCATAAGAGGGTTTCTATATTGAAAATTGCAACCTATTCCCGAATTTTAAAATTTCCATAAAGTGCAAGTTGTGTGATTTTGGCTGCCTGCATACAGCCCGCAGTCCGCAGTTCGAACATGACACGGCGAATGAGAACGACTCAAATTTGAGTTTAGTTCACTCATAATCGCCAAAAGTGCAGGAACTCAGCGATGAGTTAATTTGCCTCATGTTTTCCCAGGATTTTCCAGGATTTTCCAGGGGAAAATTCCCGAATTTGAGAAAAGTAAAGATTGGATTCACTCAGTCTATTGGTACTATTCCGAGACTGAATAAAATTTTCGTCAATTTCCTCATTTTCCGGCAGATTTTTTAGGTTTTCCACAGAAAACCATGGGACAAATTTTACTCATCGCTGAGTTCCTGCACTTTTGGCGATTATGAGTGAACTAAATTCAAATTTGAGTCGTTCTCATTCGCCGTGTAGATGTTAAATCCAACTTCTCCAAGAGGTTTTTTTTTTTACTTTTATTATACAGATTTTTAGCCGAAAGCTTCATCTCGTATTCGCCAGGAAGTGTCATCCGACTACTCCAGATTGTTTTTCCGAATTTCCACGATTTCTTCCGACTTTCTTCAGGAGTTTTTTTTTCTAAGTACCTCCGGAAGTTTCTTCTAATTTCCATTGAAAGATTCTCCAGACATCCCTCGGAAGTTTTTTTAAAACTTTCTCCGGAAGATTCTTCTCACTTATCCTGATAGTTTATTTTCTATATTCCCCTAAAACAATATTAAAGGCCACTCCTGGAAATGTATACATTCATATATTCTACTTTTTCTTGGAATGATTACCTCAACATTCTTCTACACTCAAAAAAATCCACACGTCATCATCATGTGTCTCACACTTAATTTTGCGCTTATTGTGAAACACATCCATTTCATGTGTGAATCTTATGCTATGAATCATGCCTGAACACTATGGATTTGAATTGTGACACACTTGGATTCTATGTGCCTCATTTGGTGATATCAATAGCTTTGCACATAATTGCAACACAGAAACCACCATCAAGATAGCGCTATAACATGTTATAACCATAGAGGTAACTCTAATAGTACGTTCAGACTACAGAGTTATAACATGTTATAGCGGTATCTTGATGGTGGTTTCTGTGTTGCAATTATTTGACAACCGTTATAACATGTTATAACTCTCCAGTCTGGACAGCGTTTAAGACTAGTAGGTCCCGAAGAAATGAGCTCTACTTTTTGGCTCAGCTCTGGTACTATCTTCGGTCCCAAGCTAATCGATTCACCCCTCGAAACATAGGAAATTCCACTAACCCCTCATTTTATCTGTCAAATTTTCATAGCGAATCAAAACAAACATGGTGTAGTACTAGAATTTTGACTTGAATGGGGTGCGTTAATCGATTTGCTTGGGACCAATAGGCTAGTCAAGTAGTGAGCCAATTTCAAATCGATAGTTTCATATTGATTGTTGTTATAACTCTGTAGTCTGAACGTACTATAACACATTGAACCAAGGTGAAATACACTTAAGTAAATGTGATTGTGCATTTAAAAAATCAAGTGTTTAAACACTTCGATCAAACGTGTAGAATTTTTTGAGTGTATCTTTCCGCGTGAGCTTGTTCCACACTCAAAAAATTTATCACATATCTAATGGATGAAAACCATGTGGATTTCACGTAGCTTTCATGTGATCACATAGCTAAAAATCCCACCACAAAAACATGAATATTATGAGGCCGATGGAATTCATATGAAAATTTCTCTTATACTGAAACAAAGATAATAGTTAGGAATACTATTTTGCAGAAAACACTTATTTTCAGTATAACCAACAATCAATTCGAAATTTACGATTTTAAATTGGCTCACTACTTGACTAGCCTATTGGTCCTAAGCAAATCGATTAACGTATCCCATTCTAGCCGAAATTCTAGTTCTACACTGAAACAAGGACCATAGTTAGGAATACTATTTTGCAGAAAACACTTATTATCAATATAACCACGCTTATTGCTGTTGAATCTACTATGAATTCAGTATAGTTGACTATGAATGTTAACAAATTTACTATGATTCTGGCAATACTACTATGCTTGCTTAAAATGCATAGTAATTTTGATAGAAATAATAGTAAAATGAAATGAAATTGTTTTCTGCAAAAATCTATTGGTGAGGGTATTTAATCTAAACCATCAATATAGTATTTTTGCCAATGGATTTTGTTTCAGTGTACACTATGTTTGTTTTGATTCGCTATGAAAGTTTGACAGATAAAATGAGGGGTTCGTGGATTTTCCAATGTTTCGAGGGGTGCATCGATTAGCTTGGGACTGAAGATAGTACCAGAGCTGAGCCAAAAAGTTGAGCTTGTTTTTTCAAGTAGGTCCCGAAGAAACGTGCTCAACTTTTTGGCTCACCTCTGGTACTATCTTCGGTCCCAAGCTTGTCGAATCACCCCTCGAAACATAGGAAAAACCAATAACCCCTCATTTTATCTGTCAAACTTTCATAGCGAATCAAAACAAACATTGCGTAGTACTAGAATTTCGACTAGAATAGGGTACGTTAATCGTTTGCTTGGGACCAATAGGCTACTAAAGTGGTGAGCCAATTTAAAATCGTTAGTTTCATATTGATTGTTGGTATAACTACGCTTAATACCGTTAAATCTACCATAATTTCAGTATAGTTGACTATAAATATAATCAAATTTACTACCATTCTGTCAAAACTACTATGCTGACTCAATGGAGGCGAACCAGCCTAAGGCTGAAAGCCTCCTAAATAAAGCTAAATAATAATAATAATATGCTAACTCAAACGGTATAGTAGTTTTTAAAGAAAAATTAATCAAATTAAATGAATTTCGTTTCTGCACAAATCTATTGGTGGGAGTATTTAATTTGAACCATCAATATAGTATTTTTGCCAATGGATTTTGTTTCTGTGTAGTCCTGACTACTTCAAACTAGGGAAACAGGATTTTTCAGTAATCCGAGGAACACATCTTAGTCCTTGTTACTTTTTATGCCTTGTTGATAGTGACAAGACTCGGCTTTGTCTACCGAGGATGATCTTGAAACAAGGAAAAAAATGAGTTAGTTGTCTGCATCTATGTGATTCCTAATCTTCTATTCGTTGTTCCCTAGTTTGAAGTGGTTAAGACTAGGATTCTGATGCATGGTCATTATCGGTGTCATACCTTAATTTTGTTGCTAAGGAATCCAATTTTGACTGACAAAGGGGCGCGCCTTTGGAGAGTGTTTCAACACACCGAAGGGTATAAATAGCGGGACCTTTCAATTAGAGTCGGATCCTTGTGATAAATGCGAGAATGACAACTGTAAAAAAAATCGAATACTTCATCACTTC